GCGCACCCCCGATGGTGTCGAGAAAGTGCCACACCTGCTATGCCCTGGACGACCAGCGCGCATAGCGGCCACGGTGAGGGACCACCCGCTGCGCATCCCGTATGGTGTCGAGAAAGTGTCACGCCTGCCATGCACTGGACGACCGTCGTGCATAGCGGCCGCGGTGAGGGACCACCCCCTGCGCACCCCCAGTGGCGTCGATAATTCTTTTTGAAGACGCAGCAGCTGAGGGCCCCTTAAACGCGACCCGCGGGCGAGGAACCACCCAGACTTTCGGCGACAGCCGAACGCCTTATGTACACTATGGTACCAGTCCTCTACTCAAAAGCTTTCTGACAGAGCCTGCTGAATACGACATCGTTACAGCACCCCGGCAAGGACGGAAGCAAAAACTTGAAACGGCCCCGGACTCGGGATCCCGGCTGAGGAGCGGAAGACGAGGAGGAGGAAACGAGAACGGACCGCGGCGCCGTGTGTGCACCAATCCCCACATGGTCAAAACGACCGCATATATAATGAGGCCTCACACAACGAATCCATAATGGGTGACGCACAGTGCATACTCAGTCAAAGCCCGTGCGGCGGCGTGGCTGATAAGAAACATCCCCAGAATCCTATCACGTCGGAGGCGGGAGCGGGAAGGGGGCGAGCGCGAGGAAGGAACAAGGAGGGAAGGCGACGGAGCACCACAAGCAGCAAGGGAGACGCCTGAGGGTGAAAGCGGTTGGGTGCAGACACTCGCCAACTAAAACAAGACATTCGAACGAGGGCACACGGGCGCACAAGCGCCCAGCACCGCGCGTAACCATGACGGTGACGGCGTCAGGGCAAGCCTGGCGTGTGGCCAGAGGCCTGGGTCAACCAGCAGCGGGCACAGACAGGTCCACACGCAGTGTTCATGCACGCGGTGAGGGACCACCCCCTGCGCATCCCCTACGGTGTCGAGAAAATGCCACGCCTGCTATGCACTGGACGACCGTCGTGCATAGCGGCCGCGGTGAGGGACCACCCCCTGTGCACCACCAATGGTGTCGAGAAAATGCCACGCCTGCTATGCCCTGGGCGACCGTCTCGGATAGCGGCCGCGGTGAGGGACCACCCCCTGCGCACCCCCTTTGGTGTTATCAAAATGCCACGCCTGCTATGCACTGGACGACCGTCGTGCATAGCGGCCGCGCTGATGGCCCTATGGTGTCGAGAAAATGCGACGCCTGCTATGCACTGGACGACCGTCGTGCATAGCGGCCGCGCTGAGGGACCACCCCCTGCGCACCCCCAATGGTGTCGAGAAAATGCCACGCCTGCTATGCCCTGGACGACCGTCGTGCATAGCAGCCGCGGTGAGGGACCACCGCCTGCGCACCCCCTATGGTGTCGAGAAATGCCACGCCTGCTATGCCCTGGACGACCGGCGCGCATAGCGGCCGCGCTGAGGGACCACCCCCTGCGCACCCCCAATGGTGTCGAGAAAATGCCACGCCTGCTATGCCCTGGACGACCGTCGTGCATAGCGGCCGCGCTGAGGGACCACCCCCTGCGCACCCCCAATGGTGTCGAGAAAATGCCACGCCTGCTATGCACTGGACGACCGTCGTGCATAGCGGCCGCGCTGAGGGACCACCCCCTGCGCACCCCCAGTGGTGTCGTGAAAATGCCACGCCTGCTATGCCCTGGACGACCGTCGTGCATAGCGGCCACGGTGAGGGACCACCCCTTGCGCACCCCCTGTGGGCCTGCTACGTGCCCCTCTATGTGAGGCCTGCCACGCTCTCCGACGTGTGGTGTGTGTGTGTGTGTATAGTGCGATGCGGTCACGCCTGCCGTGCCCTGCGCGCTAGCCCTGTGCTGAGCTGTGCTGTGCTGAGCTGAGCTGAGCTGTGCTGTGCTGTGCTGAGCTGAGCTGAGCTGAGCTGAGCTGAGCTGTGCTGAGCTGGGCTGTGCTGAGCTGAGCTGAGCTGAGCTGTGCTGAGCTGTGCTGAGCTGAGTAGTAGTAGTAGTAGTAGTAGTAGTAGTAGTAGTAGTAGTAGTAGTAGTAGTAGTAGTAGTAGTAGTAGTAGTAGTAGTAGTCGTAGTAGTAGTAAGTAGTAGTAGTAGTCGTTAGTCGTAGTAGTCGTAGTCGTAGTCGTAGTCGTAGTCGTAGTCGTAGTCGTAGTAGTAGTAGTAGTAGTAGTAGTAGTAGTAGTGGTGGTGGTGGTGGTAGGTGGTAGTAGTAGTAGTAGTAGTAGTAGTAGTAGTAGTAGTAGTAGTAGTAGTAGTAGTAGTAGTAGTAGTAGTAGTAGTAGTAGTAGTAGTAGTAGTAGTAGTAGTAGTAGTAGTAGTAGTAGTAGTAGTAGTAGTAGTAGTAGTATAGTAGTAGTAGTAGTAGCGTAGTAGTAGTAGTAGTAGTAGCAGCGGCAGCAGCAGCAGCAGCAGCAGTAGTAGTAGTAGTAGTAGTAGTAGTAGTAGTAGTAGTAGTAGTAGTAGTAGTAGTCGTAGTAGTAGTAGTAGTAGTAGTAGTAGTAGTAGTAGTAGTAGTAGTAGTAGTAGTAGTAGTCGTAGTACTAGTAGTAGTAGCAGCAGCAGTAGTAGTAGTAGTAGTAGTAGTAGTAGTTGTTGTAGTAGTAGTAGTAGTAGTAGTAGTAGTTGTTGTAGTAGTAGCAGCAGCAGCAGTGGTAGTAGTAGAAGTAGTACAAAGATCGATGGCACACATAAACTATAGCATACATACGCGGGTTACTTCGGTAGTACGAATATCGATGATACACATAACATGTACAACACATATGTGGGTTACTTCGGTAGCGTAATGTCAATCCGGGTCCTTCATGGGGCCCTGGGTCCATGTTTGATGGCCCCGGGGCCCGACACGTGTTCCATAGGCTGAAATCGACAGACATCGCCTGTGTTGAACTTAGCCTGGCGAAGGACCCAACCATATGCAGCTGTGAGTGCCGCAGTTGAGGGTATCGTCTTCGACGGAACTCCCTATGAAACACTGTGCTGGGCGGGGGAGACGCATGCGAACTTTGCCATTCGGGCCTTCGGTGGATCACCCTATAGGGCCACGAAGCGCTGCACTGGGACGGAGAGACGCATGTGGACGTGTCCAATGGGGCCTTCTGTGGAGCTCCCGATGGGGCCTCGAAAGACTGTACTGGGTGGGGGAGACGCATGTGGGCACCGCCATTGGGGCCTTCGGTGGATCACCCTATGGGGCCACGAAGCGCTGCACTGTGTGGGAGAGACGCATGTGGACGTGTCCAATGGGGCCTTCTGTGGAGCTCCCGATGGGGCCTCGAAACGCTGTACTGGGTGGGGGAGACGCATGTGCAATGTTCCACGGGGTCCGTCGGTGAAGCTCGCTATGCGGCCACGGAACGCCGTGCTAGGTGGGGAGACGCATGTGGACACCGCCACTGGGGCCTTTGTTAGACTCCGTATGGGGCCACGAAACGCTGTGCTGGGTGGGGAGACGCATGTGGGCACCGCCACTGTGGCCTTCGGTGGAGCGTCCCATGGGGCCACGAAGCCCTGCACTAGGTGGGTGAGACGCATGTGGACCCCCGCCACTGGGGCCTTCGGTGGATCACCCTATGGGGCCACGAAGCGTTGCACTGTGTGGGAGAGACGCATGTGGACGTGTCCAATGGGGCCTTCTGTGGAGCCCCCGATGGGGCCTCGAAACGCCGTGCTGGGTGGGAGAGGCGCATGTGGACACCGCCACTGGGGCTTTCGGTGGACCTCCCGATGGGGCCACGGAGCGCTGCACTGGGTGGGGGAGACGCATGTGGGCACCGCCACTGGGGCCTTCGGTGAATCCCCTTATGGGGCCACGAAGCGCTGTACTGGGTGGGGGAGACACATGTGGACACCGCCACTGAGGCCTCCGGTGGAGCTTCCTATGGCCACGAAGCGCTGCACTAGGTGGGTGAGACGCATGTGGACCCCCGCCACTGGGGCCTTCGGTGGAGCTCCCTATGGGGCCACGAAGCGCTGTTGCGTGGGGGGGAAACATGGGGACACCGTCATTGGGGCCTTATACGGTGGAGCTCCCCATGGGGCCACGAAGCGACGTGCTGGGTGGGGGAGACGCATGTGGACACCGCCACTGGGGCCTTCGGTGAAGCTCCCTGTGGGGCCACGACACGCGGATGATGATGAAGATGAAGATGAAGATGAAGTTGATGATGATGATGAGGATGAGGATGAGGATGAGGATGAGGATGAGGATGATGATGATGATGATGATGATGATGATGATGATGATGGTGATGGCGATGGTGATGATGATGATGACGATGACGATGACGACGACGACGATGATGACGATGACGACGACGACGATGACGATGATGATGATGAAGATGACGATGACGATGACGATGAAGATGATGATGATGATGATGATGATGATGATGATGATGATGATGATGATGATGATGATTATGATTGATGATGATGATGATGATGATGATGATGATGATGATGATGATGATGATGATGATGATGATGATGATGATGATGATGATGATGATGATGATGATGATGATGATGACGAGGACGAGGACGAGGATGAGGATGAGGATGCTGATGCTGATAATGATGACGACGCCGATGCTGACGACGAGGACATGCAGAGGGCAGAGGAGGCAGGGGATGGGAGGAGGGGGAGGAGGAGAGACGAAGGAGAACGCGGGGCGCTGTCTCTTCGAAACGAGGACCCAACAACAGAGGATGGTTGGGAAAAACCAGAACGTCGGAGCTCTGGGGTCGCGCCGCTCGACCTCTTGCGCGCCGCCCAGGGAAGGAAGCGACGCGAGGCGAGGCGCTGGCATCCGTCCAGAAGGACGGCCCTACGAGAGCACGGCGCTTGGGCCAGACCCTGGGGTGCACTCTGAGTCCCTGTGTCATTCGCCAGCGGGAAAGCCCGCGGAGAAAGAGGGAGGGCGACGACGACGACGAGCAGGGGAGGGGGTGTGGGGACGCGCCGAGGGGGCGGCGGCGGCGCAAGGCGGGCGGTCCTCCACGGGGTGCACCTGCCCCGCCCCGCCCCGCCACGCGCGCGGCTCGCGGCGCGTAGGCCCGGCGGCCCCTGCTGCCGGTGCCCCTGCCGTCGCCCTCGTCCTCGTCGTCAACTTCGCCGCCGTGGTCCTCCTCATGCTCCCTTCCTCGTCCTTGTGCTCCTCCATCCATTCCCCTCTCACGCGTTCCGCATGAGACGCCCCCCTCCAATATATGACAACGACACTTTACACTTCCAACTGTTATACGGATGGATGATGGATGGGGGTCGTTCTGAACATGTGACTGTCCCGTTAGCGTCGCGAGTCGATAAGAAAACTTCCAACAGTTCCACGGGGGGGGGGGCGTTTCTCCAAATGAAGCCCTCGCCGTGGCACCGCGCACAGTCGTTTTGAACGCTTCCACACAATTGAACGAGGTGGAGGAGGAGGAGGAGGAGGAGGAGGAGGAGGAGGAGGAGGAGGAGGAGGAGGAGGAGGACGAGGAGGAGGAGGACGAGGAGGAGGAGAACGAGGAGGAGGGAGGAGGGAGGAGGAGGGGAAGGAGGAGGAGGTGGAGGAGGAGGAGGTGGAGGAGGACGAGGAGGAGGAGGAGGAGGAAGGAGGAGGAGGAGGAGGAGGAGGAGGAGGAGGAGGAGGGGAAGGTGGAGGAGGAGGTGGAGGAGGAGGGTGTGGAGGTTCTCGCCTCGGTGCAGCGCACATACCTCACACCGACGCTCACACGGATGAGGGTGGGACGCCCGGCTCGCGCATCCGCGCCGCGCACGGACGGAGGGCGGCGCCTCTCACAATGCGGCCCTCACCTTGGCACCACGCACACTTGCCCCGAAATATGCCGACCGCTACGAGGGGGAGCACGAGGAGGAGGAGGAGGAGGAGGAGAAGGATGAGGAGGAGGAGGAGAAGGGCGAGGAGGAGGAGGAGGAGGAGGAGAAGGAGGAGGAGGAGGAGGGGCGAGGAGGAGGAGAAGGAGGAGGGCGAGGAGGAGGAGGAGGAGGAGGAGGGCGGCGAGGAGGAGGAGGAGGGGGAGGAGGAGGAGAAGGATGAGGAGGAGGAGGGCGAGGAGGAGGAGGAGGAGGAGGAGGAGGAGGAGGAGGGCGAGGAGGAGGAGGAGGGCGAGGAGGGGGACACGGATGGAGGGCGGTTCCTACGCCACCCATGTGGCTCTCGCCCGAGCGCCGAGCACCGTCGCTCCCGAAGCTCCTGGCCGCCGCACGGATTAGAGACGGGTCGCATTCGGCACTCGGCTCTCTCGCCTGAGCGCTGCGAGCATCTCTCCCATGGTATTGGCCGCGCCAGCTACGCGTGGCAGGCAAGGAAGATATAACCAATAATGGGGTACGTTCGAAGACGAACAGGGCGGGTATCGAGGGTTTGGGGTTTACATACGTGTTGAATGGCAAGCGGGCATCGAAGAGCGAACAGTTTTAATTTGATTGAACTCTCATACCTGGAGAATTATTATTGTTGATCCCCCCCGGATGGAGGGCAGCTCCCTTTCACAGCATCGGTGCTCTCGCATGGAGACTTCGCTCGGTTCTGTGACCAGGCCCTGAGACCTGAGAATGTAGCAAACACTATACGGGTTCAGGGGGGCTCCTTTCAACACGGGACTCTCACTAGATACGTCACTGGACTGCCTGATGCTACCTCGTCGCGGTCCGTACAGCTAGACTTAGGTCGGGCATGTCCCCCCACAGGCCGATGTTCGACGAAAACTTAAACATAGTCAAAAGATACTCCCATACTGCCCAAACATACACAACACATCGTACCCTGACCGTGCTTTGTCCTATGTTTGAATATCTCTCCTGCAGAGAAACACGCCCGAGCTTCAAGCTAGAATCTGAAGAGGCCCCGAGGCACACCAATCAACACACACAAACAAAAGGATCCCCCATATGTTCCCATGCTCTCTGGGCTTCCGTCTCCCCCCCACTTGCCATATGTTCCCATACTTTCTGGGGGAATCGACGATTAATTGTGCCTGTGTGTCTGGCCATCGCTCGGACGTCCATTCCCTGTGTTTTGTGTCGGTGTCGTGCGTGTTTTTTCGCCAAATGATCAAGGATGCTCCTCGATGGTCCTCGCCGACGTCCGAGCGATGCCAAGTAGTTTCCCATACTTTCTGGGGAATCGACGATTAATTGTGTCTGTGTGTTTCTTTCCCTCCTCCTGAGAGTGATGGATGGCGGCTCCTCTTCAGAACGGGGCTCTCTCGACGGAAGTGCAGGACCACGGGCCGCACGCCTTTTTCAGCGAGGCGCCTCCCACAACAGACGAGGAAGTCCCGTGGGGAGTGCTGAGGAGGGGCCAGGAGGAGGAGGAGGAGGAGGAGGAGGAGGAGGTGATGACGAGGAGGAGGAGGAGGAGGAGGAGGAGGAGGAGGAGGAGGAATGGGAGGAGGAGGAGGAGGAGGAATAGGAGGAGGAGGAGGAGGAGGAGGAGGAGGAGGAGGAGGAATAGGAGGAGGTGATGACGAGGAATTCCTGTGGAGAAGGATGGGCTCACTGCAGCATCGCTGATGCATCTTGGGCTTACTCTGGGCCTCCTCCTCGTGCTCCTTTTCCTGCTCCCCCGTCGTCCTTGTCCTCCTCATCATCCTCGTTTCCTCGGTTCGGTGCGTTATTTCCCCCCCGTATTCTGGAGAATACCAGAACCGCGGGACGCCCTTCAAACATGAACTATATCTGTAGACCACAACAACAAATCTGAGATCCAAGTGCTCGAACACAAGAGAGCCCCAACACATCTGAAAAACAATCAACCAAGGAATCGCGCATGCGATGCAGAGGGATCCCGCGCGAGCGCACACCTGCTGGGCTTTGCCAGTAGCGCGCGCATCATCGTCTCTCACGCGGAGAAGCAGGAACCCGCAAGAGGAGAGACGGAGGAGTGGCGAGAGAAACTGACACCACAGCTCGCGGCAGCCGACACAGGCGCAGATCGTCGTAGCCCGGGGGCCGCGCACTGCAAGCAGAAGCGCGCAGAAGCCCCAGGCTCGAAGAGGGAGGAGACGCGGGGAGGCAAGAAGTGCGGGAGCGCGAGGCGGGGATCTGCCCATGTCGTACCCACCGCCTGTGGAAGCGACGTGCACAGCTGTCTCAGTATCCTACTCCCTACTTTACTCTACCCTATTCTACTTTACCCTATTCTACTCTACACGTTCGTCTACGCTACGCTACTCTGCCCTACTCTATTCTACCCTTCTTGACTCAACTCTGCCGTACCCAAACAGACTCTAACATAATCAATGTTGCTCTTCCTCTACTCTACTATACCCTAATTCTGTTCTACTCTACTCTACTCTCCTGTACTCTACTCTACTCTGCCCTGCTCTACACTACTCTACTCCACCCTGCCGTTCCCTAACATCATACACTCTACTCTACTGTGCGCTGTTAAACGCTACTCTAGTATACTCTACTTCTACACTATTTTGCTCCTATACTACTCTACTCTACTCCTACTGTACTCTACTCTACACAACTCTGCTCTACTCGATCCCTGCACTACTCTAACCATCCGCTCTTCTCTACTCAACTCTTCTCTCCTCTAGATATGATCTACACCACCCTACTCTGCTCCATCCTAGTCTACTCGACTCTACTTTGCCCTCGTCTGTACGCCTGCTCTGCTCTGCTCGTCGTCTGTCGTCGCCTTCGTCGTCTTTGTCTTTGTCGTCGTCGTCGGTGTCGTCGGCGTCGCCATCGTCAGCGTCGGCGCCGGCGTCGGCTTAGGCGTCAGCGTCGTCGTGGTCGCTGTGATCGTCGGGCGTCGTGCGTCGTGTGTCGTGCGTCGTCGTTGCCAAGGGGGGGAACACTCTACTTCCTCTCTACTCTACTCTACTCTCCTCTCCTCGCCTCTACTCCTTTCTACTCTATTCTACTCTACTCTGCCCTACTCTACTCTACCCTAGTCGACTCTATCCCACTGTACCCTGAAGTTTCCTACGCTACTCTACTTTGCTCCTAATCTACTCTACTCTGTGCTCTACTCAGCTCTGCTCTACTCTATGTCTTCTCTACTTTACCCATCCACTCTTCTCTACTCGACTCTAGTCTACTCCAGTCTGACTTACACCTCCCTACTCTACTCTACTCTGCCCTACTTTACTCTACCGTATCCCACCCTATTCGACTCAACTATACCCTCTACTTTGCTCTACTCTACGCCTACTCTACTCTGCTCGTCGTCGTCGTATTCGTCGTCTTCGTCGTCGTCGTCGGTGTCGTCGGCGTCGTCATCGGCGTCGTCGACGTCGTCGGCGGCGTCGGCGTCGGCGTCGGCGTAGGCGTCGTCGTCTTTGTCGTCGTGGTAGTCGTGCGTCGTCTTGGATACGTAAAGCGCGGGGCATCCGCGAGCAAGACGCCCAACATCCATGGGGTCGCGGCCCAGGGGCCCCGACTGGCCCGTGGATGTGGAAACGGATATATGCGTTCCGCCCCCGACCCAGGGCGCCGTGGAGTGCCGGGTCCTCGCCTCTGGATCGGGCAGACCATCGGAAGAAAGGGGATGGGAAGCGAGCGTAAAATGTGGGAAGGATGCGTGAGAGATGGCAAATTTCTCTGCAGGAGCAAAACACCACGACAACATCGCGCGAGAAACATCATGTCCCCTTTACCAGCCTGAGGAGAGCGCGGAGAACCAGCTCGGCTCTTGCTCCGGATCTTCTGCTTCGTCCGACAAGTAGGACATCGGATGGATCTTCGCAGCGGGCACGCGGGCCAACAAGCAACGGAAGGCAAACCGAACAGATATATTCTCGCTGTGCGTGTGTGTGTTTGCGAGTGTGTGTGTGTGTGTGTGTGTGTGTATGTGTGCGTATGTGCGGGTGTATATTTGTTACTTGGCCATGGCCTGAGCGCGCGCGCGCCTCTGTCCTTGTCTTCCAAAGGCCGCCCTTCTCCTCGCTCCCCCCTACTGTGCACAATTAGTTTCTCGGTAGCTCGGCTTCGTCTTCTCCGTTGCTATGCTTACCCGATGACTGCAACCCATCGCCACGTCGGAGGAATAAGTGTGTGGGCGTGTGTCTGCATGTGTGGCCTCTTCGACTTGCCTCACTGGCGTGCGCTTCCGTATCGCATCCCTCGCACATCTTCCCTTGCACTCCTGTTTCTCATGTCTGGGCAGCCCCTCGGCCCTCGTGAACGTGCGCTGAGAATTTACCATCTTCTTGAGGCACTTTTTTTTCAAAGCAGAATCATTCAACACCGCGCTCGATTGCGGGAGCGTGCGACCGGGGCACGCCTCGGCACCAACATGTTGAGAGCATGCGCCCCATGGGGGAATCAAACAAGAAGCATCGGCACCCCTTTAGTCAAGGTGCGAATCGCTGCCTGCGAAGCCCCGAAGCTGCTGCTGCCACCGACCCATGGGCATCTGTTCTGGTACATTTGTCCGGATGGGCTCTGGTCGTCCAGAAGAGTGAGAACACATCGTGTCGAAAAGGGACCCCGCGTCATCAGAAGGACAGGCATGAGCGAGTGAATGATAATTGACATGCGTGGACAAACGTAACATTGGGGCAACACGCTCACCAATTCGCTTCGCCGTTACCTTAACTTACCAACATGCCTATCATGATCTCCGCATTTCGCCACATCATTTTCATTTTCGCTACAACCGCCTTCGTACTCATCATAATCATCCTTCCCGTCACCCCGCCTCCCTCGCATTCGTCCATACCCTGAATATCCTCCTCTTCTCCCCTCCCCCTCCCTCTCAAACTGTGCTTGAGTGCTCTTTCCCGTCGATTCAAGCCAAGTGCCCAGAGTGGCCTCCTCGGCTTGTGAGTCCACCACTGCAAGACGCAGTCTTTATGAAAAACGTGTCCACACTGCGTCGTGATGGACTCCTTTGCGGGTGCGTATTCCACACATGCAGCGTTGGATGACAAAACTAACAGATGCGGGAACCCGCCGTATTCACTCAGAGGGTTCGTGCATTATGCAGCTTGCGCTGGCGCGCCCACGCCTTCTCAGATGGAGCTGCGCCACAATTGTGCCGATGCCAAACTTAGGCCACGCACCGCCTGAAGAGGACAAACAGACAAACACACACACACACACACACATACACGCTCAGTCACGCTCAGTCACGCGCACACGCAAACATACACACACACACAAACACACACAGACACACACGCACGCACGCACGAACGCATGCACGAACGCACACACATACACACACGCACACACACGCACACACGCACACACACAGACACACAGACACAAACACACGTTTTTTGGCGAACTCGGTCACGCGTGCCACGACGGGGCGGAGAGACTCCGTAGGCGACTAGGACGTGCGCACGGCCGGTCCCTCTGCACATGGGCTATACACACACACACGCACACACACGCAGTCACACACACATACACATACATACACACAAGCACACACACACACATGCACACACACACAAGCGCACACGTACAGTTTCGAGGACTAGGGAACTTTATACTATAGTGTCTCTGGGGGACCTCGATTGCCGCGTCCACCGCGTGGCCAAGTCGACCTGCGTCGCGAGCAGGCCAAACCCACCCCGTCGTGAGTCATGTCGCCACGAAGCCGCGGACAATACTGCTGTCGTGGACGATGTTGGTGCGCCATCCTGCTGCTGCGCCGCGCCGCGAGTTCGGGGCGGAGCCGGGCGCCCCCGGATAATTAGGGGCAGGTCCGAGCAAACGGGACCAAACGGCGGCCCGATTGGGCCGAGCAAAGAGCCAGATGAAACCTGGCCGAGGCTGGCGGCACCCAGGCTTCGCGACCAACGCGCGCCAGCGACAACCAGTGCCCGCGGCAACCCGCGCAGCGCAGGCAAGGACACGTGAAGGCTCCAGGTGCCGAGCGCCCGCGGGCGCGCATCTTCACGTTACGACCGCCGCGCGGGCTCGCTGCGGGGCGGCAGAGGGGGCGGTCAGGACCGCGGCGCACCCTGCCAACCATCGAAACCCACAGTGGGCTTGAATCGTCGTCGACGGGCCACAACTGATAAACCAGACGCGCCCGCTGGCCACCAGATCAGGACGCCGAGCGGCAGCGCGGGCGCTCGCGCCCGTCATTGACACTAAACAGCGATTGCGGCAAGACGGCGGGCGATATCCGCCGGCCCCCTTGCAGGGCCACCAGGCTGCGAGGGTGAAAATTGCAGCCCCCTGTTCCAGTTGCAGCTTCCAGTTTCCTCCGTTACAATCCTGCTTCCTCTAGACGAGCGCGTTCCACTACTCGCACAATAACTACTTGTAAATGGGCTTGATCCACCGTGCGGGATCTACGACAGATTACATCGACGAAGACAAGTTTTCTGTTCAAGCGTTTGCGAGCAGGCACTCTGCGAGTAGTGGAGCGCGCTCGGCGATCCTTACTAAACACGGCTGGCGCGGGACTGCACGGTTGCGCTCGCGGCAGCGCCGTGGGCGGCCGCCAGGGCGACGGGGCGGCGGCTTCCACGCGAGGGCGCGAGAAGTGCTGTGGAAGAACAGCGCGGGGCCGTCCCGCGCCGCTCGCCACCGCGGATTGGTCGTCGGCTTTGCTGCGAGGCGCAAGCGACAACATATGCTTCGCGCGCGCCCTGGTGGGCGCACGGGCCACGGATCGGCCCGCGCGCGCGCGAGCCGCACTGCTATAAGCGGGCAGGAGGGGGGGGGACCCGGAGCGGGCTGTCAGGATCCGGCGGGCGCGCAACATTCTGGAAAGTTCCCGTGCCCTGTGAGCGACCGTCTTGTCGACTCTCTCAACGTGGCGACGCAGCCAGCCCGCGTGCCTCTCGGACACCGCATACCGGCGGCGGCGGTTGCGCTGCTCCCCGCGCCAGATTCGACTGGCGCGAGCGGCGACGACAATTCCCCGGCGGGCCAGCCCGACGACCCCCCCCCATCCAAACCCTCCCCAAATACCCCATTCGAAGGGCGGACATCCCCAACGCCAGGCCGCCCCAAAGAATCCGCGGCGGCAGCCCGGCCCCCCTGACCCCCATTCACTATGCACGTCTTCCGGTGTCTACAATGGGATAATATATAATGGATTGCAGGGTTACTTGTTTCTGCGTTTTCAACGACAGAACTATTTAGAAAAACAAACGGGTGTTCTGGCCGAGCGGCCATCCGCTACGCCAGTGTCCAAAGCTCGGCGGGGGCCCCTGTGGGGCGGGCCCCGCCTGCGGGGGTGCGCCGTATACCAACCCATGGCAGCGAACGATGTTGGCATTATTCGGCTACACGCAGGAGTGACCCTGGGTAAGAGTGACCTTTGGTGCGCGGCTTTTTGGGGGCCGCGGGGAGACGAAACCTGGGCGCGCAAGCCGCTGCTGCTGCTGCGGTGTCAGCCATCTGAGGGCCCATCTGTGCCCGCACCGAAGGTCACTCCGGCGAAAGGTCACTCTTACGTTAGGAAGGCACCAACTATACACCAACACCGATCCTGGCCAGGATCACCCTGGGCCCAGGATCGGTGTATACGCCCTCCTGCCTTGGGCAAGAAGGCATATACACCGATCATGGGCCCAGGGTGATCCTGGGCCAGGATCGGTGTTGGTGCATCGTTGGGGCCCTCCGATTACGTCGAAGTCGAATTATGCAAACGGCCGCCGCCGTTGTCGAATCCGCTGGGGGCCCCTGCGTGGACCGCAAGGCATCGCGGGCCTGCCTGCGCAAACGCGCCGGTTCAGCAGCCGATCGCGCTGGGCCCCGGAGGCGGGCAACACACGGGGGAGGATGGGGGCCTCCGTCGCCCACGCAGGGGCACGAGTCGCGGGGGGGGGCGGAAAAACGGGGGGCCAGGGGAGGGGAGAGAAGAGAGAGAGAGAGAGAGACAGGGAGAGAGAGAGAGACAGGGAGAGAGAGAGAGAGAGAGAGAGAGAGAGAGGGCGAGAGACAGAGAGAGAGAGAGAGAGGGAGAGAGAGAGAGAGAGGGAGAGACAGAGAGAGAGAGGGAGGAAACGGTGGGTCGTGGAGAAGAGGGGCCAATCGGGACAATGACAATCCGTGGGCGGCGGGGGGGGGGGGGGACGGGAAGAGAGCGCGGGGGCCTGCCGCGGCCGCCGCGCAGGGCCCCCGCCACCGACGCGGGCGAACCCTCGCCCAGCAGCCGCAAGCTGGGCGAAAACATGAGAATGCCTTCTGCCATACAGTGAGGGTCTTGACCTAAGGAACCCAAAATAAGGAACGAGGCCCTTTTTTCCATGAGTTAACCTTCGATTTCCGATCGAAAACATAAGGAAAACCTGAGGCAAGCTGTGAAACAGCTAAGGAACACTGAGCCCCTCCCCAACAGAAAGGGTTCCTTCTTCAGGGCCCCGACTGTAAAACGTGAAAGGCGCGGATCTCCCTGCCCGACGTCCGACGGGGTGCTCTGGTCGGTGAAGGACCCAGATGGCCAAGGGGGGGGGCTGCCAAGCCGCGCCCGTCGAGAGCCTTCCACACACTGCCCACTTTCCCCTGCCCCATCGCCAAGCCCGCCTTTCCCCGCCAGACACAGCAGGGCAGACGCCGCGGCGTCGAGCGCGCAGGGGGCGGGCGCATCCGCCGACCTCGCCTCGGCAGGAAGCGCGCGACCAAGGCCCGCCAAATATATCACTGCACCGACCTTGCAGACGTGCTGCAGCGCATTTTCGCGTAGATTTCTACCAATGCGAAGCCCCGAAACGGCAGGCGCAGGCGAAAAACCAAGTTGTTGTCCCGTGCATGTTCTCCAAAGCTGCGCAAGCCTGGACCGCGAACTTATCGTGGCCACGCGCCACATCGGGCGGTGCCCGAACCTCCTGGACACGCCGCTCGGCATTGCGATCTGCCTGGGAGTTTGACAGAACATCCAGCCTCGAGCAACCTTGCCGAAGAGGAGGGCTGCCGAAACCTGAAGACAAAACGAAGTTTTGGCAGCCCTCCTCCTGCTGGCCCGCCGAGAGCACCCCAGCGCGCCCTCCTCAACCGATTTCACGGGGCTGCCTGCGCGGGCCCGTGGATCCTCTGATACGCTCGCGCTTGCCCGCGGTTTCCGTTCCCCTTCACTTCGCGATGTCTGGCACCCGACCCCCCTCCCTCCCCCCCATGCCCGTCGCCTCTGCCCCTCGTCGCGGCCAGCCCTCCTCCCCGGCGCGCGCCCGCAACGCTCGGCGTTCGGGGCGCTCGGGCGCCGCCGCGGGCCGCGCGCCCTGCGGCGCCGCGGGCCGCGTCTGGGGGCCCGGGCGCGCGAGCCACGGGGCGCCTTGCCACCGCGGTCGCGACGCGTCAGGTCCGCCTCGCGTGGGACACAGTAGCGCGCGCCTCGACAGGGCACTGCGCCGCGGTCGCCCAGTGTCGAACAGTGGGGCGCCAGTCCGTCGAACCCGCGTCGTCGAGTGGGTTCCGTGACGCCGTCGTCGCCAAGGCAGACGCTTAGTGCGTCGTGGCCCTGGCCAACTCCAAGCCAGGCGTGTGGAGCCGTAGGCCGACGTGCAAACATAGCGCGTGGTACCCTGGAGCGCGCGTCTTAGGGAAAACACCAGACGACATGTGAATCCAAGACTGCTCCTCTGCGTGAATCGCGGCCCGCAATACGAATGGGATTCCCAAGACAATGGCACCTCCGGATGCTAGCGGTTACCCGAGCAAGTTCGGCCGACCCGTGGACTGCTACATGTAGATTTTTTCGTGGCTAACGACCTTTTTCGCGATATGTTCGCAGGGTGGCCTGCCAACCAGCACCTCGTTCTATGTCCACGATGCCAGAAATTCGATCCCTCACGCCTTCCCCTGCCATGCGCCACATTGGACATCCGCTGGTAGTCAGCACCATATGACTATGCAGCACCCTTTGAAGGTGTTGAATACGTCCATTATTCAATGTCCTTTTTTACAAGAAAGACGTACACAC